TAATCACAATGGTGTAATCAATTTCAGTTTCTGTGGCCGATAAGGCCTTCAATTTAAATTCTAAAGCAGAAAATCAAACAGATTTTCCTACGGTGAACAGATAGAAATTCAAAACAACATATATTCATATAAATGGCACTCAAAATCATATCAAACACATAATCACAATCATAATTAAGATTAATATGCATAACACGGACCAGGGTTATCACAAAAGCATTGTGGAAACAATTAGTGTGCAGTAAGTATGGAGGGTTAGGTGGCAGATAGAGCCCATTATCAGTGGAATCAGGTTTGTTATCTTCTCTGTGGCAGGATGTATTATCAGTGGTATCATCTAATCCTACTATGAGTGAATTCTTCTTGCAGAATTTCAAAATTGTTGTTGGTAATAGCAGAAGATTACAGTTCTGGGTTGATAAATGGTTTAACAATCAAAGTCTTAAAGAAGTTTTCCCCAAATTGTTCATCTTGTCAAATGAAAAAGATAGTACACTGTGTGAGTTTTTCCAAAGGAAATGAGAGGGTAGAGACTGGAAGTTAGCTTTTAGAAGGCCCTTATTTTCTTGGGAAGAAAAGAAAGTGCTTAAATTATATGACCTGTAAATTTGGCAGAATTGGAAGAGTTGGTGAAGGTCAGAGTTGCTTTGTGGGTGAAATCAAATTTGAAAGAGTTTAAGTATTCAACGCATGATATAGTGTCTAACCTGAAGCAAGTATGTCATTGTGTGTAGCAAGGGATGGCTCAGGGGATTGTTGCTACTGCAAAGATGTCTTTTGGCCTTGGGTTTAGTGGAGAGCTTATTACATTGGTGGCTGAGATGAAAGGTTTGAGATTGTATGTTCAGTGCCATACAACCAAATTTTGAGGAGTTGTGTGATCTTATTGTTATCCTCATTAGTTGTGTGTGTGTAAAATGTACATAAAATGAACAACAACAAAAAATTAAATAATTTAGAAAATAATTAAATAAATTATATTCTGAATTAATTGCTTACAAAAATTTTAAGTCGAGACTTTTGTTGGACACAATCTCCTTAAAATAGATTTTGCCCTCGCTCTAGTGCTTCGAGAATTACTGGCGTCTACTTCTCATGATGCAATGACTAATACTTGATTTGCAACACGACAAACTAAAGTCTGGCGAATCAAAACTATGCGTTAACTATCGCTTTCTTTTCCTAAGATTAAATGCTGGACAGATGCAAAAGACAAGAGGACAAAAAGAGGAAGAATAATGAAGAAATGTTGAAAATTTTATTTACTAAAACGTTGGAATGGCAGGCTATTAATAGCCAACCATGCACCTATTCGGGTAGGCCTTGGAGGCTGTTCGGACATGGCCAGAAAGTTACGACCGAAACAGTACCTGTTTGGAAAGGAGGCAACCTGAAAATTTTAGAAATTCGAATTTGAAAATTTGGTGCAAATTTGAATTATTTTCGTAAGGAAAAAAAAATTCCCGTAAGAATTTGGAAAAATTCAAACGAATTTTGTCCAAAAAATTAAAGTTAGGACCCGACCCGACCCACACCATGCCCCTGGGCCCGGACGGTGACAGCACGCGCGTGGTGGTTTTGGGCCAATCCCACTTTGTCCATAACTCCCCTCCATACAAAACTTGGGGTGCCCTTTGGGGCCCATCCTAAGTATGGCAAGCTAGAGTATATATATATATATATATTTTTATCAACCAAAAGAAATTTATTGATGAGGAAAACCTTACAACAAAGGTACATAACAATAAAGGAGAGACGAGAGGAGGGGGAGGGGGGATGACAGCACCATACCAAGACTTTGTTGGTGACGAACCAACAAAGAATGCAAGAACAACAGATCAATAACAAAGCAGCAGATCAACAGATCAATAACAAAGCAGCAGCTAAGAATGCAATTCTACAGAGGCACCAGATTAGCAACTTCTCATACAGCTTCTTAAACTGCACCAGATTAGCAGATTAACAGAGTAGACCCTCAGTGGGAAAAACACCAAATGAAAAACAAAAAAACACCAATCTAGCAGACCCTCAGTAAGATAGCATAGAGGCACCAAATTAACAAAATGCACCAGATTAGCAGCTTTTCATACAGCTTCTCAAACTGCACCAGATTAGCAGATAAACAGAGCAGACCCTCAGAGGGAAAATCGCCAAATGAATAACAAAAAACACCAATCCAGATCAAGACCGGCAGACCAAACAAAACTTACAGAACCAGCAAACACAGAGCAAGCAGACAAGATAATAACAAAACAAAAGTTGACCAAGCAAAATAACAAAATAATCAGCACACACTTAACAGCAGAATAAAATTTGCCTTAGGTTGTGTACAATATCATGCCTTGAGTAAGAGAAACCTGAAAGGTTGAATTTGGCCCACAAGGCCACCCTCCACTTAACAAGACAACTCAAATCCTGCAGGTTAGGTGTACACCCATTAAAAATACAATCATTCCTCATTTTCCAAATAGACCAAAGCATAGCCAGTGGTACTAAATTCTAGAGTTTCCTGATGATCGTTTTGCATTTAAAGCCCATCCACCGATGTAACAAGTCCACAACTACAGTAGGTGTTACCCAGTTTATATCTCACAAAAGTAACAAATCATTCCATGACTCCCAAATGCCCCTACACAGCAAGAAAATATGGTTCAAAGATTCAGGTTCGGTTTTGCAAAAGGGGCAAACATTGCTTACACTACTACTAAGTACTCCAATTCTTTGCAGAAAATCAGAAGTTTTAACTCTGCCCTTCCAGATCAACCAACCCAAAAATTGAACTTTAGGGGAAGCCACATTACCCCATAATAGTGAGGGTAACAACAACTTTGGGCCATGATGAGTAGCCAACCAATCTCTCACTGCAGCAACTGTGAACTGCCTAGTTGGAGACCTCTGCCACCTAATAGAAACTGGAAGGGTTGATCTCAGGGAAGGAGCCTCTGCTTGCAGGATATATAACCGATTAACCCCAGCCTCCTCCCAAAACCTTAAAGGCCTCCTAAAGGATAGATTCCAACCCTATACTCCTTCCTTTCTTCTCACAAAAAAATTCCAGGGACTCCTCCTTCTCGGTAGACAAACTGAATAACCTCGGGAATTCATCGTTCAGCTTAGTATTCCTCAACCATTTATCTAACCAAAAATGCACTCTCTTACTATCACCCAAAATGATTTCAATATTGGATAGGAAAAAGGCAAGTAAATCTACATTAACTTCTACCCCAGATAGAATTTCATTCCACACAATAGACACCCTCCTAGAAGGCTTAAGATTAAGAAACCAACCCCCTCCTAAAGCTCCATATCTACTATTAATAACTTTCTTCCATAATGCCTAATCCTCTACCCCATATCTCCATCACTATTTCAAGAGGAGACTGCTATTCATTTCCTTTAGATTTACAATGCCTAACCCACCTTGCTTCTTACTAACTGTGACTACCTTCCATTTAACAAGGGGCACTTTTCTTTTTTGATCAGAGCTCCCCCACAAAAAGGCTGCTTGCAGTCTATTAAGAATTTTCGCCACACCCACAGGTAATTTGAACATAGATAAGTAATAGCATGGTAAGTTGGATAGGACAGATTTAATCAATGTTACTCTACCTGCAAAAGAGAGCAACTTTCTTTTCCAAAGGGCCAATTTTGACTTAAATTGTCCACTATAGGTTGCGAGGACTTACGTGACTTAGTGTTAGCCCCAAAAGGAAGACCTAAATACTTCAATGGTAATTTTTTGCATTGACAGTTGAGTTTAGATGCAAAGCCCTGTGCATGAGCTTCCTCAATTCCTACACCACAAAGCACACTCTTATGAAAATTTATCTTCAGCCCTGATATAATCTCAAAGCATCTAAAAATTCTTTTAATAGTCACCGCCTCTGCCTCTTCTGCTTCACAGAATATTAGAGTATCATCCGCAAATTGTAGGTGAGTGAGTTGAATCTCGGAAAAGCCCACTGAAACACCCTTAATTAACCCCATATCTTTAGCTCTACCCAACAACAAGTTTAGACCCTCCACAACAATATTAAATAAGAATGGAGAAAGGGGATCACCTTGCCTTAGCCCTTTACTAGGAGAGAATTCATCAGTTGGAGAGCCATTAACAAGGATAGAAATTCTGGCGGTAGTCAGCCCCTTCTTTTTATGTTTCTTCCACCAATCCACTACCTCATTGGCTATCATGATTCCATCAAAAATATGACGACCACCTATGAATGCAGATTGAACTTCACTAATAATATTTGGCAGAACCAAGCTCAGTCTACGAGATAAAACTTTGGATAGGATTTTGTAAGCGAGGTTCAATAAACTGATAGGTCTGAAGTCCACAAGGCTCGAAGGACTAACCACCTTAAGAATAACGGCAATAAATGAACTATTCAGACCTTTAACCAATCTACCGTTGGAGTGGAACTCTTGTAAGAATTGGAAAATATCTTTATTCATCATTTGCCAACACTTTTGGACACAAGCCATGTTGAAACCATCCGGCCCAAGGGCTTTGTTCCCATTACTTTCCTTCACCACCCTCCAAACTTCTTCCATGGTAAAGGGAGCTTCCAAAACCTCTCTGACCTCGGTTGAATTGAGAGTCACAAACAACCCAACTAATTTTGGTCTACGAGCCCAATCTTCAACAAAAACTAAGGAGAAATGCCTTGAAACTACTTGTTTAATCATCCCCGGTTCAACATACCTTATTCCATTAAACAGCACTGAATCCAACAAGTTTCTACTTTGCCTTTTGCTTGCAATGATATGAAAGAATTTGGTGTTCTTATCCCCATTATGTGCCTAATTCAACCTGGATTTTTGGAACCAAATCCTATCATTCCTCTTCCTAAGCTTCCAAACGAGATTGCTAATTTCCCTACTATTTGTAGTTTCTGGAGAGCTGAGAGGTCGTGATTCAGCTAATATATATCTGAAGCATGTAAATCATCTTCGGCCTTCTTCAGTTGGTTCACCACATTCCCAAATACTTCAACATTCTATTTTTTCAACTCCAATTTCAATAAGCTGAACTTCCTCATCAGTTTATAGCTAGCCCAACCTTGGACAGAGGACTCAACCCAACACTTCTCCACTATTGTTAGGAAGTTAGAATGGAGAACCCAAGCATTTATAAATTTGAACGGCCTGGGACCCCAATTCCTCGAATCCTCCATAAGTAGTAGGGGACAATGATCAGAAACTCCCCTAGGTAGGCCCCAAATTTTGAAACAATATTTCTCTAACCAGATTGGCTCCAGAAGAAAACGATCAATTTTACTCCATCTCTCTCCTTCCAATGAGTTACACCAAGTGAATTTTCTCTCAAGTAAAGGGATATCAACTAATGCCAAATGTTCAATGAAATTGTTAAACTGTAGCATACCTCTGTCTCGCCTATTACAGCCTTTCCTGTCAAACATGTACCTTATCTCATTGAAATTGCCTCCCAGACACCAGGGCTTCAAGAAATATTGCTTTAGATTAATTATAGAATCCCAAAGCTTCCTTTTCCTAATCGCATCATTCGGCGCATAAATGTTAAGAACAATACATTCAAAAAGATCATGAGTGAAACTTGATAGGATGATGAGATTTCTGGTGCTGCAACACTCTGACAAGAAGAAAACATCTGGCTTCCAGATACATAACAGTCCCCCTGAATTCCCTTCAGCATCCACAGCCAGAAATTCAATATTGTCCCATGGCCATATTGATTTTGCATCTCTGGCTTGTATATTACTGTGCTTGGTCTCTTGAATAAGAAGAACATCAATCTGCCTATCCTTAACCACATTTTTAATTCTGCACCTTTTCTCCGACCTTCCCATACCTCTAATATTCTAGGATAACATCTTCATTACAAACATATTTGTTGTACTAACCCCCAGTTGACAGACCTGCTAAGAGTTGCCATCCACCAAACCTTGATCAACACCTGCTACTCTTTGTGCATCTCTGACTTCCAAATCAACTAGTTTTCTCATCATTTCCGAGTCCTTACCTTCAAAATTGATGCCCAAAGATTTACCAAGATGAATAGTGGCCTGTGCTTCCTCAATTAACTTCCTTCTTCTTTGACTAGGTCTACTGGACTGACTATTTTGCGAAATGGATAGTGATATAGCTGCTGCAGCAACCCTAAAGATTGCTTCCCTTTGGAAAAAGTTGGGGAATGAATGACCTTTGCGGTAAAGTCTTCTCTTCCCTTTACTTCTGACACCTGGTCCACCACTTTGCAAACGAATAGAGGAGTTGACTAATGAGCCTTGAGAAGAAGCAGACCTATTTGCACTATTCAGGGCTTGAGCCATATGATTACTAAGAAAATTGGAGGCATGTGGGGACGGGTCACAACAGGGAATAGGTGCAATAGAAGGTGCAACAGTAGATACCCTCTACTGGGCTTCTCCAAGTACCATCTCCAGGTTGATAATGGGCTTTTCCCTTTCAAACCAATTGATACTTTTCGTAAAGCCTTGAGTACAAAGACCTTTCTCTAGAGCAATGATTTTATCTACATTCAACTGTACTGATGGCTCTTTCAACCTCCCACCCCTTAAACTACTAATAGCCCCCTCGAGTGGTTTTTCAAAACTGTTACCTACAACATCTGCAACAGTCTCGGATACCCAACTTTTGTGATCATCTTCAGCAACTTTAGTGCTCTATGATGTGGCCTTTTTGCCGTTGGTCACCACCTCCTCCACGTATGCTCCCCTCCATATCCCCTCATCATTGCCTCTTCCACCACCTTCTAACACAGGACTATGAACATCTTTTTGTTTCTGATCATCCCCATTTACAGATGCACCTTCCCCAACTTGTCTACAAACACATTGGGACATACTCCTTTCCATTACCACAGAGGAGTTAGGATTCTCGCAGATTCTCATGGGATACTCCTTGCCTTTATTTTTTACTAGCACCACACCATTGATAAAATCCGTACAACTGGTGATAATTCTAACCTTGCCATATTGAAAGGAAGTTCCTCTGGTACTATTCTCATCAAATTGGACCACCTCTCCCCATAAAGTTCCTAAACTTCTGAAGGTTTCAACATTCCATAAGTTAAGAGAAATGCCAAAGAAACTAAGCCAAACACACCTCTCTTGAGTAGGAATTACTCCAGCTTCCCATTCCTGCATTGAAACACACTAGTCGAATATCCACTCCTTTAAACTCTCAACATGACTCTTCATCTCTTGGATTGAATTAAAGGTTAGCACAACAACACGTCCACTACCCATTCGGGCAGCTATGTCCTTGAGCCCTCTTCTCCTGCACTCTTGCACAAAATCTGAGAATGCAAAGAAGGATTTAAGTTTAAGAAATAGACTCTCATATAGCCAAGCATTCCCAGCTTCCTTAGCATAAATGGACAAGAAGTTATTTTGATAGGGAGTGCCCTTTTTCACCACCTCAACAAAGGAATTGAACCCTGCTGTTCGGAGCCCCTGATGAGGGCCCAGCGTTGATCAAGGATTGGCATGATGAGGGCCCAATGCTGATCTGGAATTGGCATGTGGATGATTCACTCTTCGCCAAAAAGAAATCTGATCTTTGTTTGACTGCAAGCCTTGCCCTTTTTGATACTCTGCTCCCTTGACTTTAAGTTCCTTGTTATCTCACCATAATCCATTTGCTTTTTGCATAGCCATTGAAGCAGCCACAGGGCAATCGAATCACACAAATCCAAACCTTTATCCAGTGACTTTCCTTCTTTTACTGGGTATGTAGACATCTTTCACTACTCCGAACTTAGAAAATAACCCGAACAGGTTCTTCGGATTCATGGACTCAGGGATCTCATCCACAAAAACGGTAAACAGACCTTGATGATGGGGATCGAAAGCTGATTTCCTAACACTATGCTTGCTAATTACTGGGCTCCAACCTCCTAGATCCCTCTGACTTTTTCCTTTCTCTCTCGGATTACTGGGTCTTGCTCTCCAACGCTCCCTCTTTGTTTTCTCTCTCTCCATTTGAATTATATCATCAAGCTAGATTATATATCCATATAAATCCTTAAGCCTTTCTTATGTGGGACAAGCACATTTCATAAATGTGTAGGAAACTCACCTATAACTATTTCTACGAATCTGAAAATACGCGTTGAATTCTCATTCATCCGAAAATAATTATGAGCAACCAAACACATGATGTTATTCACTACGCAGTATTAGACATGAACCCAGTTAAAAAGGTTAAAAATAATGCTTGAGTCCTATCTTAATTAATGCTTAAAATTAATAAAAAAATAAGATATTACAAAGTCATTTCTAACACTTATTATGATTAGAGTAGCCATTTGGTTGAAGTATGATGAAAAGGGATGCTTTATCCCATTAATGAGGTGAGGGTTGGTTTTTTATAATGCTGTTAGTGATGCAGCTATAACGGAAAAAATACATATCACTAAAAATGATGTTCTAAAATACTATTAGTGAATTGGTACACATTTAAAAAATAAATAAATGAATAAGGCACAATAACACTGGGATAGTAGGTGAAACCTACTATCTGTAGACATCACATTTTGACCGGCCCTAAGACTTGGGCGCTTTCTATTGATTACCCGATGATGATAATCAGAATGTGTTCCCTAGCAGTCCTCAACAAGAAAAATAGAATTTGAGTTTTAATCCCTACCTTCACACATTTTTGGCCAAACTATTTTAGACCTTAAAACCCTCTTTCCAAAATATTTTTCCAAATGTTTCTACGATGTTTCGAGGCTCCCCTTCAATTAAAATATTGCGCTTTTCAGTAAACCAAGTAAGGACAAAATGGAAATAAATGGAAGAGAGGTGAACTTTTTGAAAACAATATTTAAAAAAAAATTCTACTTTATAGATTTGGATAGGTTTGGATTTGAAGGAAACAGGAGGGGATGGAAGAAAACTGGTTTAGGGAAAGGATAAGCATCAAATTGTTAAGAAGGAAATGAACAACCTTTACTAAATTAGGAATGTCGCTTTTCTCACTTAGAATTTAGATGTGAGGCTACCACTATTGGAAAGTAAACTTCTGGAGCTTCAATTTAGACCCAAGAATCACCTAAAACCAAGTCCAAATAAGGGGGATATGCCCATTTGAAATTGGGAATGAGAGCAGATTTTGTTGACCTAGCCCAAGAGAAATGAGCAGCCTTCACTAAATTAGGCATATCTCTTCGTACACTGAGAATTTAGATGTGAGGCCACCACCATTAGAAAATAGACTTCTGGGGCTTCAATTTAGACCTAAGAATCACCATAAACATAGTCCATATACGAGAGATATTCCCATTTGAAGTTGGGATTAATAGCAGATTTTGTTGACTCGGCCCAAAATAGCAGTAGCCTCATTTTTTTTTTGGTTTTGGTTTGGTTGGGATGCCACATTTACCTTTTTTCTGATCCATTTAAGTGCACCCACTCATCCTCCATTATCTCAACTTATCCTCCATTATACCTATTCATCCCCCATTGTCAAAAAGAGGTTTTGTTGGCATCCATAAAGGAGTATCCCATGCAACCACCTTGAAAATTTGCCCTCCTATCACATTCTTGTCTTCCACCTTGTCTCCCAACTTATTTTTGACCTTTACTCTCCCTCATTGCCTATATAGAATGATCATATTGTAAGAGAGAGGGAGGACCATGAGATTGAAGAGAAAAGAGTGAGAAAATGGTGAAACAAGAGAGAAAAATTGAGTTTTTGAGCCGAAAATATTCCTATCTTCCATATACACCCCATACCTTCCATAGCTACTGAAATTCCTCATTTCCATACACCAAAACCACTCCAAAAATTATGATATAGCCAAAGATTAATTGCCTTGAAAGAAAGAGTGTTTAGTGATTGAAAGTGAGAAAAACTAGAGAGTTAGCCACTCTCCATACCACAAACTCCATAATTTTGAATTGAGGATTTGAGAACACACTTCCTACACTTGAGGGTGATCAAGAGGAAGTTTGGAAATCAAGAAGTTCAATCTTTCTTTGGAATGTAAATTTTTAGTCTTTCATTTTCTTATATTTTATATCTCATATTTATTTTCTTGCTTCTTATTTCATAGTGTTTTGTTATAATCCAAGTGGTTTGTTTATCTCATATTTATTTTCTTACTTTATATTTCATAGTGTGTTGTTATAATCCTAGTGGTTTGTTTAGCTCATAGTTATTTATTTATTTATTTATTTATTTATTTATTTATTTTTATTCGCATTCTTTAATTTCATATTAGTTTTGTTGTAATCTTGCATGTTCTACCTCATATTTATTTATTTTTTTCTTGTATTAGTCTCATATTAGTTTTGTTATAATCTTGCATGCTCTATCTTATATTTGTTTTATTGCTTTAGGTTTATGTTGTGAGTTTTCACTTTTTATTTTATTTTATATTTGTTTTCTTATTTTTTTAATCTAACCGACAGTGGTTAGTTGAGCCACCTACATATTTTTTGTTTGTTCCTTTTCTTGGTTTCGCAACAAGATAGGTTTTGCTTGGCCTAGTTGGCCGGCCGGCCTATTTGCCCCCGGTCGGTTAGCTTCTTCCGAACAAAATGGCGTAATCTCCCAATATTGACCAATTTTCGCCAGCAGTTCCAAAGAACATGAAGCTTTTATTTTATTTATTTTTTATTTTGAGTGTATTGTGAGGTTTTTATTTTGTTGTAATATTCTCCCCATCCCTCTCAAATTTGGTTTGTAATTATTATTTAAAATGTTGTAATAATTCCCCGGCCCGCTTCTTTCTATCCCGTTCTTTTACTTGCTCTCTTTGTTCGTACATAAACATCATATTTATTTTTCATCATAGTTATGCTTTGCATCCATGTTT